TTCCCTCTTGTTCCGATTTCGTCTCGCTTCATCGTTCGACCATTCGGTAAAGCCTGGTAAATTCTCCAGGGCCGTCCACGTTCTTGGTGCCTCGGTGTCTTGGTCCAATTAAAGCGTTGATCAAGGTGCCCTTCGCTCAACTTCCACGTCGCGAAAACGTCTGCGTATCCCTAGCTCGTACCCCTCGGGACGGTGAGGTGCGCCATGAGAAGCGTTTTGTTCACTTGCTCGGTCCACCTATTGTTCCACGTGGTCGGGAAACTTTCGTTTCTCTACGCCTTTTTGGTAATATTTTGTTTCTAGTTTCTGTCTATCGGTTTCACGTCTTTATGGCAATGTTTTATTTGTTTCGTTTGTAAGGGTTCTACGTCTTTGTAGCAATATTCTATTTTTGTTTCAAGGATTGTACGTCTCTGTAATAATATTTTATTTGCTTTGTTTGTAAGGGTTGTACGTTTCTGTAATAATATTTTATTTGCTTTGTTTGCAAGGCTTGTACGTCTTTGTAGTAATATTTTGTTTTTGTTTTGTTCGTAGGGGTTGTACGTCATTGTAGTAATATTCTATTTTTGTTTGCAAGGATTGTACGTCTTTGCAGTAATCTTTGCTTTTGTTTTGTTTGTAGGGGTTGTACGTTTTTTTAGTAATATTTTATTGTTGTTTTGTTTGTAATGGTTGTACGTCTTTATAGTAATATTTTTGTTTTGTTTTGTTTTGTTTGTAAGGTTTGTACGTTTTTGTAGTAATATTTTATTTTTGTTTCGTTTGTAAGGATTGTACGTCTTTGTGACAATATTTAATTTTTATTTTGGATATTTGGATTCGATATAGTGTTTTTTTTTATTGCTAAGGACCATTTGGGGTATTTTGGTCATTTTTGAGGATGAGAGTTTTGATGAATGATAAAGTTGGTGTTGAGGTGTTTTGAAGAGGTTTTGTATTTCGAAAGTTACGTATTTATGGATTTGTGTTTTCTAAGTACCATTTTATATGCCATACTATTTTATATCGTATCGTTACATTGTCCATAAATAGTCGATGTATAGGAGTTTCATTTTCGATTTATCATTTTTCCATCGGGATAAGTGTAATTTAAACTTGAATTTATGTCGTCTTAAGTACCATTTTATAACCTTGTTATTATACTATTTTATTTTATTATCGTCTCGTTGCATTGTTATCGAGCAATCAATGTATGGTAGTTAATTCTTCGATTTATTGCTTGCAAACTATGCAAGCCTCTTTATTTCCCTATTAAACATTCCACAACTTCATTACCTCAAAAATTCAAGATATTCAAACTATTTCATCAAATAGGATCCCGATTAATAAAATACGAGGTCCACGAATTCGAAATATCCAAACAATTTAACCATGTACATTTCCGAAGTATCAAGTACGGAGTTGAAAAATTCAAAGCACTCTAACAGTTTCATCAAATACATTCTCAGGGTCCAAAACATGAAGTCCAAATATTCGAAATGTCCAAATAATTTAATCAAATACACTATCAATTAATAAAATATGGGGTTCAAAAATTCAAAATACTTATCGAATTATCAAATGTCCTATTATCAAAATGTTCAAATAATTTAATCAAATACACCGACAGTTAATAAAGTATGGGGTCTAAAAATTGCCAATATCCAAACAACTTCATCATATATAATATACTCCCAATGTACAAAACATGGAGTCCAAGAATTTAAAATATTCAAATTTAATCAAATACACTGTCAATTAATAGAATATAGAGTCCAAAAGTTAATAACACCCAAATAATTTCATCATATACACTCCAAATGTACAAAACACAGAGTCCAAGTATTTAAAATTTTCAAAAGATTTAATCAAACACACTGTCAATTAATAAAATATGGCATCCAAAAATTAACAATATCCAAACAACTTCATCATATATACTCCCAACGTATAAAACATAGAATCCAGGAATTCAAAAAACCCAATTAATTTCATCAAATGCATTTCGAATTAATACAACATGGAGTTAATAAAACATAAAATCCAAAAACCGACACAATTTTACCAATATATTAGGTCTACCGGAAAGTACAGTCCGTTAATGTCACCTGAAGTTTTGTCGAATTCACTATACTTTCCAGACTTAATACCTAATTCCATCATCCTGGGAAGTGGTCATAAGTAACGATGAAAATGATATTGTTAGATAAATATAAACAAATTTGTTGAAAATGTATTATTTTCTTTTACTTGAAAAACGGTCAGAACTTTTCGGTAGACCTAATACAATGTACAAAACGTGGGAAAAATTGGCAAAATTGTAAATACCTAAAGAATCTCGCGAAATCGTCCGCCAGTACCGAAAACACGGGGTCCAGGTAGTTAACTGGTACCGGAGAAGCGCATAGAGTGATCGGATACGAAGGAAAAGGTAAAAATCGAAGTGGATCGGTTCCCGGGCTAAATCCGTGCCGAGCTTCGTGTGCGACGCGGCCCGTCGCGTTTCACGATATTATTAACATTCCTAAACAAACAAAATGCATCGTCCCGATCTCCGGCGGGTCTCTCCCTTGGACGGTGAGATTATACGTTGGTCTGGCCGGAGTTAAGGCACGAAATTATAAGCCGGATGGCCATTTCGTAACGGGCCGACAGCAGCGTAGGAGCGGAACAGGTCGCGCGCGCACACGCGTCGCACTTTTGCTTCGTTCTATTTCCAAACACGAGAATTATTCGCGTTCTCCGTGCGACCAGGCGCGGGACATGGCGCCGTTCTTGACGTATCGCGCCCGATGGCACCGGCGTGGTAATGCAGGCGAAACGATGGCGAGAAACGGGCCGGCCGACGGTCTAGCATAAACACTGGCGCCCTGCGAAACAATGCAGAAAGGAACGTCACGCGCGAGGAAACAGAACG